TATCTCCTCATACTGCTGATATCTACACGGGCTCCTTCCATCCTGTTAATGCTTCAAGAAAGAGAGAGAGTTCGTGTTACAATTAGATCGTCGATAGACTTCCCTTGTAAAAAGCACAGTGTGGCTCCTCATCAATTTTGAAGATGACATGTCCAGCGAAAATCTTCCTTCCTTTCCTTTCTTATGCCCGGGATACATCTTAATCGGCAAGTTCTCTTCATCATATCAGTGATAGTTGTGGAATGCATAAAAGATGGGGTGAATTTCACAGGAACACCTAAAATTTATAACCCAGAGATAAAACAACATTTCGAACCTTATCACTAAAATATCATGATTGACAGCAATTAGTTTGATTTTTCACGTGCAGGCCTTTTACGGTTCATTTTAACACCATTTTATGACAATTTCCGATAGTTCACGACGGTAGTTTTGTATAATTTTGAAAACTCAACAGAGTAATATTTTCTCTACTTCATAAAGTTGGGAGTGCACCGTGCAACATCCGCCAGAGTTTAGGAAGACTTTGTAAATTTGCCCTAAAAGATTGCATGTGAACATGAACGACGTGAGAAAATGTTTCTCCCCCCACATCTAGGAACATGATGTATACTTGCACGTACGGTAATCAAGATAGATGTGCAGTAAACCTCAACTCAGTATTTGTACACATGAACTCTTCAGCTGAGCTACGGTGAACTTCATCACATTGACAGGTAATTCTTCAAAACCTAGCTAAAGTAATCCCCGATGGACGAAAGCAAGGGCAAAAACCATTTCCTCAACGGGTCTTCGAGTAAAATCCAATCCCAACCGTGCCTCGTTAGATGAACAAAACACTTCAGCTGACACCTGCGGCAAACCTCAGCCTCAATGAATCCGTACACATGAATTCACCAATCCTTTACGATGAACTTCATGTGGAGAAGAATTGGAAAAAGCAGATTTTTGGTCATAAGTCGACTCATGCACAGGCATAAGTCGACTTATGGTAAGTCGACTTATGTTGGTGCATGAGTCGACTTACGTTCTGCTCTGGATTGTTGGTTTTTTGCTCTGCCAAGTCGACTTATCAGGTCTGATAAGTCGACTTATGATCTCTTCTCCAGTTGCTGTTTTTCGCTCTGCCAAGTCGACTTATGCAGACTGATAAGTCGACTTATGACGGGTTTTTTGGAAAGTTCAGGTTCCTATTTGCAGTCTGTTTGGGTTTCTGTTTTGGTATAAATACCAATACGATTTGAGGGTTTTGTGAGGAGAGTTTTGGGGTTTTGGAGCACAGAAAAAGAGAGATCTTTCTGAGCTATTTGTTAGGGTTATTGGTTGAGAGATTGAGAGATTTGTTGGTGAGATTAGTTGGTTCGTTTGAGCGATTTGTAATCTCAATTTGTACTCTCCTTCTCTATTAGTGAAAACCCACCCCCTTCTTGCCCCGTGGACGTAGGCAATTTGCCGAACCACGTAAAACCTTGGTGTTTGTGTTTTGTTTGGTCTTTCTCTCGGCGTTCGTTGGTTTGGTTTCTCAAAGCATCAGTCACAACAAGTGGTATCAGAGCACGGGCAACGCTTGGGCTATTTGGAGGAGTAGATCGCTTTGGAAGTTCATCTAGGGCTTCGTTTGGTGATAAAGGTGAGATCTTTTTTTGTAAAAATCTCGTCTTTTTCAGTTTGGATCTATTTCTCGTTTGTTTCCGCATTGGTTTGGTGGTGCCTTGAGGATTATGGCCGAGAAAGAAGGAGTTGTGGGCAGTACTTCCGGCGTGAAGACCGTCCAAAGCTTGAATATCCACTCAATGAAGATTGATGTGGAAAAGTTCAATGGCACAAACAATTTTGGACTTTGGCGATGCGAAGTCATGGATGCGCTCAACGCGCAAAATTTGGAAGATACGTTGGAGTTGGACGGGAAACCGGACAACATTGATGAGAAGGTTTGGAAAAAGATGAATCGAACGGCGTGTGGTGTGATTAGGTCTTGTCTCACTCAAGATCTAAAGTATGATGTGATCAATGAGACTTCTGCAAAGAAGATTTGGGAGATCCTTGAGAGCAAGTATTTGACCAAGAGTGTGGAGAATCGCTTGCATTTGAAGAGGAGGCTTTACCGCTTCCAGTTGAAGAAAGGAACCTCCATTGGTGATCACATGAACCACTACACGAAGCTTCTTGCGGATTTGGCGAATGTGGATGTTAAGATTGAAGATGAGGACAAGGCGTTGTTGCTATTGAGTTCCTTGCCTGACGAGGAATATGAGACCTTCGTTCTTACTCTTATTAATGGGAAGGCATCTCTTTCGTATAGTGAGGTCACCGCTGCACTTGTGAATTATCAGCTTCGAAAGAAGGATAAGGAGACTTCGTTTGAGCCGGTAGCGGGGGCGTTGGTCGCAAGAGCAAAGGGTCCAAACCGTAGTGGGAGGTCGCAGTCTAGAGGGGCACATCTTGGAGTTCGTAAGAATCAATGTGCCTTTTGCAAAGAAGATGGACATTGGAAAGCCGATTGCCCAAAGTTAGTTGATCGAGCCGGGAAGAATAAGGGAAAAGCTATTCAAGCTTCAGAGGCGAATGTTGTCAAGGCTAGTGGCAACGATTCAGATTCGGATTCTTCGGGCTACTCGTTATCTGCACTGCCGTCAGTTTGTGTTGCCTACTCTACAGAGTGGATATTGGATTCGGGTGCTACATACCACATTTGCCCTAGGAGGGATTGGTTCTCCAGCTTTCAGGAGTTGGAAAGAGGGGATTTCGTGCTCATGGGGAATGATCACAAATGCTCTATTGGTGGTATTGGTACTGTTCGGATCAGGATGAGTGACGGGGTGATTCGGGAGTTGGTTGGAGTGAGGTTCGTTCCTCAGTTGAAGAAGAACATCATTTCACTTGGAGCTTTGGAGGCAGCTGGCTATAGGGTGACCTTGGCGGATGCACGCTTGAAGGTTACATTTGGGTCCATGATTGTGATGAAGGGCGTCAGAAGAAGAAATTTGTATTATTTGCACGGAAGCACGGTGATTGATAGGGAAATGACGACTTCATCAGATTCGGCTAGACTGTGGCATTGTTTGGTGCTGGGGTATATGATTGGTAATACCGTGCATTGGTTGTTGAGGAGTGCTATGACCTGCAGATTGAAGTCCTGTGAGCACATTAGGATGAGCGAGACCGTGGTGGAGTTTGGCACTTCTATCCATCGAGCGAGGGGTCTTTTTGGAGGTGTTCAGTCAGGCATTTGGGGGCCTTCCAAGGAGGCATCATTGGGAGGTAATCGTATCTTGGTTTCCACAGTTGGTGATTGTTCTAGGCATTATTGGGTCGCGACCAGTTCCCGTTGGTGTAAAGTCCTAGAAGTCAACAACAATTGGAAGAAGTGTATTGGCAGAAAGGTAACTCATTGTTTCAGCTTTGGTAGGGGTCCTTTCTTGCGTTGGTGCCGAGCTCACGGCAATAGGAGACACTTCATTGGTGTGGAGACTTTGGGGCGACGAGATGAGATGACAGTTTCGATGGGTCGTTCCTTTCTGGAGGAGGATCGGCGTTTGATGTCGAGCATTGGCATTGGTGTGCGGGCTTCGACATATTTGGGTCATCTTATGCATAGGTCGCCGACTGCTGCTTTAGGAGTTATTAGATCTGGTGGAGCTGCTTCAGATTTTGGGTCGCGTCGGATATTTGGATACCCAGCATTTGGTCACATCGTGGATGTGAGATTGGATCCGATTGCGCGTTTGGGGTTCGGAGGCTCAGTTGATTATCGTTTGGGAGCTTCTGATTTTGTTCTGAGCAGGTATGTCACTTTTGACTCTCGGCAGGTGGAGAGTGTTGATCAGGTCATTTGGATATCGCAGCAGGTGGAGAGTGATGCTACTCCACGTTGGGTGGAGATTACTCCACATACTCCAGATCATACTGCGTCATTTGGGATTCCAGCTAAGGTGACACAGGTTGGAGATCATTTGGTTTTGGATGCAGATGATGGATTGGTTTTGGATTCAGTTGCAGCTGGTAGATATAGTTTGGATATGGCCATTGGTTTACCTCAGGTGGAGGTGTTTGATTTGTCTCAATTTGGGGTCATTGGGAATACTATCCAACGAAGTGTCTCGAAATACCGTGAGCTCGGCTCTAATACAGAAATAGGTCCATCTTGTACCTCCCACCAGAATGGAGTACCTTCACCTTTCTGTCTGTCACACACTTCTTCAATCTGTTGGAAACTACTAGGACTTTCTCCAAAGGGGATTTGGTTGCAACCCAAACACGCCTAGAACAGCCACCAACAAAGGAAACCAAACGCCTATTACCTCCCAATGATGCCCCCTTGGAAGGCCCCCAAACATCCACGTGAACTCCTCCAGAACGACCCTTAGCACGGTGAATAGAGGTGCCACACTTCACCTCGGTCTTCTTGCTCACATCAACATGTTCACTGGACTTCAAACTGCAGGTCTTTGCACCCTCTTTCAATCTATGCGAGGAATCAATACTGGAATGGCCAAGCCCCAAATGCCGCAGTCTAGTCGAATCAACAGAAGTCGTCAGCTCTCCACCTGCCACTATACCTCCAGTCAAGTAATACAGGTTATTTCTCCTGACGCCCTTCATCAAAATACGAGAGTCTCTCGCAATCTCGAGAACCATGTCCTCAACACGAACCTTCAGACCCTCTCCAACCAAAGCTCCAATCGAGATCAAGTTCTTCCTCAAAGAAGGAACATATCTCACATCGTTTAACTCTCTAACAGTCCCGTCAAACATCTTTATGCGAATTCTTCCTATCCCAAGGATCTGGCATGCACGGTTATCAGCCATGTACACCACACCACTATCCACCAGCTTCTCAAAACTGGAGAACCATTCCCTTCTAGGGCACACATGATAGGTCGCACCACTATCCAACATCCATTCAGATTCCTCCGAATAGCTATCTGTAGGACTGATAGAAAGCGAATAAATAGAAGAGTCAGAATTATTACCATCCGATACGATGTTTGCTTCTGATGATGGTTGCTTCCCTTTTCCCTTCTGCTTATTCTTCATCCATTCGTCGAGCTTTGGGCAGTCTTTCTTCCAATGACCAGTCTCCTTGCACCAAGCACACTGATCTTTTCCAACTCTAGACTGTGACTTCCAATTCTTTCGGTTTGGACCCTTCCCTCTTGCGACCAATGCCTCTGCTACCGACTCAGTCGAATTCTCCTTATCCTTCTTCCGAAGCTGATAATTCACCAATGCAGCAGTGACCTCACTATACGAAAGTGATGCCTTCCCATTAATCAGAGTAAGAACGAAGGTCTCATATTCCTCGTCGGGCAAGGAACTCAACAACAGCAACGCCTTGTCCTCATCTTCAATCTTGACATCCACATTCGCCAAATCCGCAAGAAGCTTTGTGTAGTGGTTCATGTGATCTCTAATGGAGGTTTCCTTCTTCAACTGGAAACGATAAAGTCTCCTCTTCAAATGCAAGCGATTTTCCACACTCTTGGTCAAATACTTGCTTTCGAGAATCTCCCAAATCTTCTTCGCAGAAGTCTCATTCATCACATCATATTTTAGATCTTGAGTCAAGCAAGACCTAATCACACCACACGCCGTTCGATTCATCTTTTTCCAAACCTTCTCTTCAATCTCATCTGGCTTGCCATCTAACTCCAAGGTATCCTCCAAATTCTGCGCGTTCAGCGCATCCAAAACCTCGCATCTCCATAATCCAAAGTTGTTTGTGCCATTAAATTTCTCCACATCTATCTTCATAGAGTGGATATTCAAACTCTGAATGGTCTTCACGCCAGAAGCACCACCCTCGACACCCGAAGCACCTTCTTTCCCCGACATTTTACGCACCAACGAACAAAGAATAGATTCAAAACTAAAAAGATAGAGTCTTTACCAAAAAAGATCCCACCTTTATCACCAACGAAACCCTAAACGAGCCTCCAAATTGATCTACTCCTCCAACCAAACCCTAGATCTGGAATCTGGGCTCTGATA